GGGTCTTTTGAGCCCTGCTGCTTGTCCCCACCTGCCTTTCTCTCTCTAGTCCCACTTGTCCACCAGCAAAATGGAGCGGTGCCTGCTGCTCCCAGCATACCAGCTCCTTCCCACCTCTGGGCCTTTGCAGGTACTGTTTCCTCTGCCTGGTATACCTTCTTGACTATTGCATGAGGTGGGGGTGCGGGCGGGGGGTGGTGCGGAAGGGGGATCTTTGTGCATCCCACCCTCCGCCTTGCTGCCTCTTCCCTGGGACGCCTTCTCTGGTCCCTGCTCCCCTTCTCTGTGCACATCTGAGAGGGGATGATCAACTGAGGGAATGGGCTTGTCCCCATGGCTGTCACCAGTCATCTGGGCTTGGGTGGAGTTGGGCGGGGACTTCAATAGCTCTGAGGTTCTCCCTGGAGCAGGCTCTAAGTGATCCTTTCTAAGTGGCAGCTGCATTGATGACTTGGGGTAGGAACTCTGGGTAGGAGACAGCCTGGCTGGCCTGGGGGCAGGGAGAGTACTGTGACCGGCGGCCTCCCACACCATTCCCACACCAAGAAGCCACCCAATGGGAAGCCCCGGAAGGCCTGTCTGCGGCTGGCCTACTTTCCGGGATCCTCAAGGCCCCGCCTGGCTGCCCACAGCCCTGCCAAGGCTTGGCCAACCAAGGTGAGCTGAGGACGCACCAGCCACAAATGCCAGGCCTTCTGAGGTCTCAGGGAGCTGGGCTCGGCACAGAGTGTGCCTGGGTCCCCTTCTTCCCCGCAAGACACCCCAGCCAGCGCTGTTATTAGCACCCCCTTTCTAGAAGAGGTTGCTGAGGTTGAGTGGGGACCGGCCCAAGGTCACACGGTGAGAATATCCTGCCTTGGACCCTTGCTCAGCTAATCAAGTGAGGAGGGGCTCTTCATGTCCCACCTGAACAGGTGGGGAAATCAAGGCCCAGGGAGGTTGAGCATGTTGCCTGATATCACCCAGTTTCAGTGGCAGTACCAGGATTCATACTCAGGCCATTCACCACCTAGTTCTCCAGCTTGATGACCATGCTGATGGGGAGGCTGGGCGGGGAAGAATGGATTGCTGTCTCTCCTCCACCCACCCACCTGACCCCAACCCCGAGGATGCAGCACACTGCAGTTACAAAGCTTGGTCCCCCCACCATCTCGTCTGCCCTTCAGGCTGTGCAAGAGGCAGTGCGCGTGATCCACATTTTACAGAGGAGACTATTAAGGCCAGAGGAAGGTCGGAAACTCACCCAAGGTCAAGCAGCAAGTTCTTTGCAGGCAGGGGGCTGGCACCCAGGTTTGAACCTCCAAGCCTAGGTCCTCCCTGGCTCTCTGGCCAGACACACTGTGGAAAGGGGCTCGTGACACCCAATAAAGGTGAGAGCTAGAGACTTGTGTGGGAGACTCAGCTTCCCCGCCTGGGTCAACTGGTGCTAAGGGAGGCCTTTGGGGCTGGAACCAGGGGTTCGCTCCAAAAGACGCTGAGACCATGTGTTCTCCCTCACTGGGCTCCCCTGCGGGGCACTGGCCACCTACTCCCAGGCTCCTCCCACCCAGCTGGCTGAGGGTTTCCGTGGAGCTCAGAGCACAGAGCCGAGGGCCGAGGGCAGCAGTTCTCAACCTGTGGGTCGCAACCCCTTTGGGAGTCAAACAACCCTTTCACAGAAGTCACCCAATTCATAACAGTAGCAACATGACAGTGCTGAAGTAGCACACGAGGAACTGTATTAAAGGGTCGCAGCATTAGAAAGGTTGAGAACCACTGATCTAGGGCCTCCTCAGGGATGGAGACAGGGCCTATGCCATGTTCCCCCTCACCACACTGTGGGCACTAAGCCCACTCTGCTTCCTGGCTGAGAAGTCTGTCATCTGTCTGTCTGCCCTTCTGTCTGCCTCCCTGCCAGACTGGGAGCAACGTGAGGGCTGAGGTCACCTGTAAAAACCAGAGCCTGACAAGGAGTGAGCTCCCCGGTCCTGGAAAGAGATGTGGAACTGGAGAGAGTGAGGGGAGGCCAGAGGCTGGAACCGGGGTGTCTCGGGCCCCCTCCAACTTTTGAATCTTAGGTGCTAAGACCCCATGGCTTGGGCAGGAGAGGGTGGGTCTGTCCGTTAATCTAAGATGCTGTGAGGACGTCTTCAGGTGACCACCGGGCAGAGGCTGGCCTATGTCATGTCCCCTTCACCATGCTGTGGGCATAGAGAGACTCGGGGCTCCAGCCTTGATGGGTATGGGGAGCCTGGTCTCCCCGTGTCTCCACATGTCCTCGACATGGGGAACGTCTGAGGGTGAGGTGTTTTGGGGAGGCTTGCTCATTTAGTAGGCCAGAAGCTGGAACTGACATCTGACCCTTCCCACTCGTTTGAAATAGGCCCCACCTGTGGCTCGGGTCCAGCTCAGGCTGCTCCTATCATCTCGCCCCCACTCTGTGCCAAATACTAGCAAGGCAAGGTTATCATTCCCTTTTGCGCCTAAAGGAGCAGGTGTGTGTGTGGCAACTACAGAGCCCAGTCTGAGGCCCAGGTAGCCTCTGCAGCCCGAAACAACATGGAGTGAAGGCCTTACAGGGAGGACGTACCTCCAAACCTGGTGGTATAAAGCAAGGCTAATGTATCGAATCTCATAGTTCTGTGGACTGTCTGGGCTCAGCTGGGTGGTTCTACTCCACATGGCGGCTGCAATCAGCTGGGAGCTGAGCTGGTGCCTATCTTTGTTGGTAGTGGCTGTTGGTTGGGGTTTCTGGTAGGATATCCTGGACTTCTTCTCAGGACAGCTGGCTTCCATGAGGACAGAAAGAGAAGCTACAAGGTCTCCTGAGATCTAAACCTGGACCGAGAAGTCCCAGAATATCCACTTCATTGCCAGTCACCACACCATCGGAGAGCTAAACTCAAGCTCCAAAATCAAGCTCACTCTCATGGAGTTGGTTTTGACTCCTCATGGCCCTAGAGGACAAGGTAGAACTGGCCCGGGTGGGTTTCTGAGACGGTAACTCTTTACAGCAGTAGAAAGCCTCATCTTTCCCCTGAGGAGCAGCTGGTGGTTTCGAACTGCTGACGATGCCACTAGGGCTGTGCCCCTCAGGTTTAGGAGGAAGGGAAGTAAAGAGACTCCAGTTACTGATGGGGATGAGACAGGGAAAAAGGAATGGAAAGATGTCTGTGGCCATCTTCGGGAAGCAACTCGCCCATGTGCGTGTGTGTGTGTGTGTGTGTGTTTGTGTGTGTGTGTGTGTGTTTACTGGAGGCCTCGGTCAGGGGACCCCGAGATGTACTCCCTGACGGTGACATCGGTGCTGAGGCTGAGTTAGGAGTTACTCAGCCATCAATCAGCGGATGGCCTTGGGCCTGTCCCTTGTCCCTGCCCCAGTAATTCAGTGAGCACCTTCTTTGTTCCCAGCGCAGTGGGGAGCCAGGTCTGTCCTTGCTGAACTTTCAGTCTCATGAGAGAAGAGAGCACGTCACTAGACAAACCCACCCCAGTGTGGCCAGTGGGAGAACGGCAGGGGGATGAGCTGGGGAGTCTCTGGGGATGCAGAGACCAGGCCAAGTGTGGAAGGCGGACACCTGGAGGATGGGACACCTTGCCCCATTCTGAGCCTTTGGACCCTGAGAGAGGTGGTCAGCTGGAACTCTGGATCCTTGAGCCGCTCATAAAGAGTGAGCAACGAGGCACCTACAGTCAGAGGCCAGTGGGTCTGAAGCGTCTAGCAGGCTTCCAGTCTAGTTTTCAAAACAACACCCCATGGTCTGGTCCCAGGGGCTAAAATTCTCCCAGGCTCCTTCCTGTTCCTGACTGGCCCTACCAGCACCCTGGGCCCTAGGAAACAGGAAACCCACCCCTCCATCCAGGGACCCTCAGATCTTGATCACCCTGGAACAGGAAGCTTGGAACTGTTCCCTCACCTTTGACCTTGGCCTGGCTCAGCAGGAGAGCTCTGGGACCACACCCCTAAGCGCCAGTTTCTCCCAGAGCTCAGGATTTGGGGGGTCAGAATCTCCCTTGCTGTGTCGCCCTGGACAAGTCCCGTGCCCTCTCTGAGCCTTTTGTGGTGAGCCCAAAGGCAGAGTGGCTGTGAGCACAAAGGAGCCAGCAGGAGGGAGGGTGGGTTCCTCTGGGAATAAGGCCAAATGAAATGACAGGAGAACCTCGCTTTCTTGGGGTGGGGGGTGGGGGCCCAAAAGGACGTGGCCATGGTGCTCCTGCCTTACCATCCTGGGAGCCCCGGCCCAGGCTGTCCCCATGTCGCTCGGGAGAGACTCTGAGACAAGTTAGTAACCAGCCCCTCTTTATTGTCTGCCCAGCGCCAGGCTGGAAGTGGGGCCAGAACGGTCCAAAGCAAGACATCCCTGGCCTTGGCCTCAGTTTCCCTCTCAGTCACGGGGAAGTACAGAACGTCCCCCGCTTCTTCATCAGGGTGCGGGCAGGATAGAGATGACAAATGCAGAGTGAAGTCCCCAGGGCTGCCCAGACACGGTCCTGGCCCTGGCGGGCTCTCCGTCTGGGAGGGAGAAGGGTGCCTGCCCACCACGGGCAGCCAGGGAGAAAGGCAGGGACTGGGGCTCCCAGCCAGAGACCAGTGGTGTCCGGGAGGCTCTCAGCCTTGGTCTGGGTTCACCGAGCTCCACTGGGGTGCTTACCGCTGGTCTTGCGGGGCGGGGGAGGCACCCATAGGCGCACGTCTAGACAGTCTTCTCAGACCCTCCTGGGCATCACAGGGGAAGGGGTCCTTGAGTCCAGAATCCCTCAGGATCCCCCTCTTTCTCAGTCCGGTTGGGGTCTTTGCAGAGAGCTTGCCTTGGGGTGGGTGGACTGGAGCCTATGTCCTGGCCATAGGGCTCCTATTAATCTGGGGGCAGAGGCCCCCTGGGCAGTGTGTGGGGGCAGTGCAGTCCAGGTGGAGGAGGCCATCCTGCCCCCTGCCCCGCTGGCAACGCAGTGAAGAGGTAGGTCATTGGACGAGGTGTCTCCTCTGAAGCAGCAGGGGTCCACCGCCGGTCCCAGCATCCTTATCTAGTGGTGTCCAGCGGGGGTTCTGGGGAGGCTGGCCGGCTCAGGGTCACACTCGGGAAGCTGGCGACAAAGCTCTCCCATCTTCTCCTTACCTGCTGGGAGACACAATGAGGAGGTCAGGGCCAAGGGACCAGGCGCCACAGGAGGTGGAAGGGATGTTGTTCAGCCTACAGCCATTGGGTGGTGCTAGGACCCAAAGAGAGACGCATTGCTCCCTAGCTTAAAAAAAATCCCATATGAACACAACCCACTGTCCTTTGGTGGATTCTGACTCCTATAGGGCAGGGTAGAACTGCACCTCTGGGGGAATCTTTCCTGCAGTAAAAAGCCCCATCGGTCTCCCACAGGGCAGCTGGTGGTTTTGAACTGTTGGCCTTGTAATGAGCAGCCAGCCCTCACATGTTAAGTAACCGATATAACACGGATCCTGTCTCCTTAGAGGAAGAGGTAGGGCCGGCGATTCCCACAAAAGAAGTGGGACACCTCCCACCCTCCACCCCCACCCTCACTTCCGCAGAAGTTCTGAGATGCAACTTTCAGGCGGCCTGGCCTCCTGTTCCACCCACCTTTCTGATTGCCAGATGAATCATCTCACCCATCCCTCCTGCTCTAGAGCCCTGATGGCTGAAAGATCAATCCCAGCCCCCTTCGGTGCCCTCTGGGGCCTGGGGCCTTGGTTCTCTGTCTCCGCAGCCCCATGACCATCTTGGCATGGCACCCCAATGTCCTTACCCCTAAGCCTTTGCTCCACTCCCTGACCTCTCCACCCATTCATTCCTTCCGCCCTTAGCCCTACCTGCCGGTACTGCCTCAGCCACCGCCGGCTGCCTCCTCGCTGGACTTGGATCAGCTGCTCCGTGTCCTCCAGGCCCCCAAGTTGCCGCTCCTGACCCGGGCCGTCCAGCCCTTCCACACCTCCGTCGAGGCCCTGGGGTGTGGACTTCTCTCGCCCCTGTCTGAGGCTCAGCGCCCGGCGGAGGCGGCCTTCCTGAGGCCTCCCCCAGGGTTCCTGCAGCTTGCCGTAGTTGGGCCTGGGTCCTCGAAGGGACTGGCTGCGCATCCCTGTCCCCATTGCTCTGGACTCAGTTCTGCTCTGGCCCCGCGGCAGGCTACTTGGTCTCTGAAATGGCCCTGTTGTCCCCACCCACCTGACAAGGCCTGGCCTGGGGCCAAAGGTTGGAACTGCCCAGGTGGCCACCATAAACCAAAGGTCAGGCCACACAGAGACATCCTGCGTCAGCCTCCCCACCTCCAGCCCACCTGCAGGGCAAAGGGCACAACCAGAGGACCAGACCGTCATCCTTCTTCCATTGCCTCCAGGCAGCCCTCCCTGACTGCCCCGCCCCTGCAGAGCTGCTCTTCTCATCAGTTCAAACAGCTGATGATGAGCACCCACCCCGGGGCCTGAACCAAACAGAGGGGACAGCTCCAGACTGAGTCCAGGGGCCTCACTCTGGCTGGGATTGTCTCTCCCAGCATAGCGACAACGAAGAAGATCTCAGACTCCACGCACCGAAGCCCCATCACTCCTGGATGCTGCTCCTCCCCTCCGTGCCCCCAATCCCTGCTCTGTCCCAGGGTCAGTTGAAGTGCTCATCCTGGGCGGGGGCAGGTCTTAGCACACTGGGACTCCAGGCCCACATCTCTTGGTGCCTGCAGGAGGCTCTGCAGTAACATGGAAAAGCTCCAAAGGATAGCATTCAGATAATGGTGATCTCACTTGTTTGTGAAATTATACTTATGGCTCTTGAATAGTTTTTAAATTGTTGTGAGGGACAGGATGGGTGCCTCTGTGTCAAAAGTGTGCCGACCCCTAAGCCGGGCTAAGCCCAGCGAGCAGTCAGTGATGCACAGGGCAGCCAGCTAAAAAGGAGGTGGGGGGCCGCGGACATGCAATATCTTGGGCAAGTCTCGTCCCCTCCCGCCCAATCTCCTCATCTGTAAATGGGCAGAATATCAGACAAGTGGGCACCTTTATAAGCGAGGTTTCTGGCAGCAGCGCTTCATTCTAAAACAGCAGTTCTTAACCTGTGGGTAAGACCTTCGGAAAACACATATTTCCAATGGTCTTAGGAACTGAGACACCGCTCCTCTATCCATCTCCAGGTGGGTCCACCCATGCTACACCATGCTTCAAGACATCATTTCATTTATTTGTCATTAGAAATAAATAGTTCACAAAATACCAATTTATAAACTATCAAGGGCTCATGAGGGAGGGGGGAGCAGGGAGGGAGGGGAAAAATGAGGACCTAATGTCGGGGGTTTAAGTGGAGAGAAAATGTTTTGAGAATGATGTACAAATGCGCTTTACACAATTGATGTGTGTATGGATTGTGATAACGTCCAACGAAATTAGACATGCGGCCTACTCTTTAAAAAAAAAAGGAAATAAATAGTTCACACCATATAGAATGGCATATTGTTTTTGTGATGAATCATTATGCTTTAATGATGTTCCATTTGTAACAGTGAAAATACATCCTGCAGATCAGATATTTACATGACAATTCATAACAGCAAAATGACAATGATGAAGTAGCAACGAAAATAATTTTGTGGTTGGGGGGGTCACCATCACATAAAGAACTGTGTTAAAGGGTCGTGGCATTAGGAAGGTTGAGAACCACTGCTCTAAAAAGAGCCAAGAAAAAACCGATTATAAGGATAAATAAATAAATACGGGATCCTGGGGGAGAGGGAGGAAGAGGAGAGAGAGGGAGGGGATAGAGGGGAGCTAGCTGACCTCCAGGAGTTGAAGAAAGAAACGGATTTGAAACTGATTATGGTAGCAGTTGTACAACACTGCTTGATGTGATTGAACTATGGAATGTTATGATATCTGTCAGAGCTCCCAATAAAATGACAAAATAATAATAAACATAATAAATTAACCAAAAGAGCCGAGAAAGGGCTCCAGGGCTGGGCCATCAGTGGGTTCTGACGCACAGCGACCCTGGAGGGTGGAGCAGAGCCTTCCCTGTGGGTCTCCGAGGCCCTGAGTTTTCCAGGAGCAGGCAGCCTCATCTTTCTCCAGGGAGCTGCGGGGCGGGTTTGAACCGCCAACCTTGTGAAGCAGAACCGACCGTGTCACCTGGGCTCTTTGCAGTCAGGATTTGAGATCTGGGAGGGACCTTGCATATCTGGTAGGGGGTTGTTGGGTTCCAGCCCCTGCGACCCCATGCACGACAGAGCGGAACACCGTCCGGTCCTGCGCCGTCCTCACCACCTGTCCTAGTTCGGAGCCCACGGTTGCAGCCGCTGTGCCGGTCCACCTCACGGAAGGCCTTCCTCGTTTTCACTGTCCTTCTACGCTGACCTTGACCAAGCATGATGTCCTTCTGCAGGGA